AGAGATATCTCGAGATCGTTGGAGGCTTGGAGCTATCGGCATCGTTTGACGCCCTATAGGCAGCTAGATCCTTGGCCTGAGCCCACGTATACGAGCATTTGGCTAAATCATCCCTGCTTATTCCAGCAACCAGTCACGGATCCCAGTATAATAAACCTTCGGTGCTATGCCTGGCACCATAATAGGGCATTCAAATGAAATCATCTATTCTGAGATCCGCACCACATCAGAAAACAGCTTCCCAATCCGAGGTCACCACATCAAGGGCCATGGCGGAAGATGTCTAGCCAGGCTTGTTCTCTGCTACGTTTGTAGTCATTAGTATGCTCAGATATTGACTAGGACATACCGGAATGGCCGAAACCCAGATTACCATCCGTGCAAAAGTCGAGACTCATGGAGAACAACAATTCCTTTAGCTTGCATCGGTTAAGCCAAAGCCCGAGGCATTTCCGAATGGCTCCAGTACCATGCCGCTGGCTTCAGCACTCAGACTTTTTGCAGTTCCTTTAGACGTCAAAGGTTGTCGCTACCGCTCAACACGGCACATCTGCACTTTTCGTGGTCATGCCTCTCATGACTAGCAAGGCACGACACTATTGATCATACTGGACAGAAGGTCGATAAGCTGAGAAAGTCGCCTGTGGTGAGCAGCTTCAGTGGGGACTGTATCAGAATGGCTCATGATGGTATTTAATAATAGTGAGCTGCTCATCCCCAAATCTCAAATTATGCAGCGAGATGTGCGCATCCTGTCGCAGATGTCACCGGACAGTTGGCCCAACTCCGGTGGCTCGAATGACACCAACGTCACTCCGATCTCGGAGTCTCGGCAGGGTCTAGCTTAGACACCAAGAAGCGCGATACGTAGTCTATGCGGGCGTGATACATTGCTACTGCCAACCAACTGGTACCTAATGTGATCACTGTTATTGCTATCGACCGGAACGAGGACTCTCAAATCGCAAGCCGACTATCGCATGTTCACTGAGAGAGCCAGTCGATTTTTGAACGGGATGCTAAGACGTCCATGAAATGGTTTAGGGCAGAAAGTAAAAAGAACCGATCGGGAGTCGTCAGTTGTCACTCAGAAATAGCATGTTTCATCAGGGACCTAAATCATAGCGCCATTGTGATCCACATGTAGAAGCCCTGGGTACCCTGGCGAATCGGGGTACTCAGTCTTTGAGATTCGAAGATAGAGAGACTCGATTCCTGGTCTCAATGCGGTCTTACAGGCAGTGGATGAAAAGAAATTTGGAGACTGGTCGCAGTGGACTTAATTCTTGATACTAACACGGAGTACTGATAGGAAGTTTGCATAATTGTAAGGAGACCCACCGTTTACTACCACATGGCTTCTTTGGGTTGATATAGATAATCCGTGCTCGTGTCCCGCAGCCAGTCTCAAGTGAGCAGTAGCTCGACTGCTCCGTAAATATCTAGTATTGCCGGCGATTTAAAGTTTTATATTCCTTTTTCTTTTCGTCTCGTGCTTTATTGGCTTTTCAACCATCGTTTGAATGGAGAAAGAGAAGGATGTGTCGAACCAGTGGGACCGCACTCAAGGAGGCCAGTGCTCCGGGGTCGTGAAGGCGAGAATAATGCTCTGTCCAGAGCTGACTCTCTTATGAAAGTCTGGGGATAGAACAGATTATCATAGGGGTAGATGGAGGAGTTGTGAATAGGTACTGGCAAGCGGAGAGGCATCAATATGAGGGAGATGACTGGACGGCGGAGAACTGGTAAAAATGGAAACATCAACAATCAATCAAACAATCAACAATATGCTAAACGATGAAGAGAGCGTATTTACCACTGTAGGTGTTAATCTAACCAGTGCCGGAGAATATCCGAGTCATCCACGGTTGTCGTCAACCACAAACGATGTCCCAGGCTGTCATTGCTCGGATTGATTCAGCAGGGTCACATCGTCTCGTGCCGAAGGTCGCATTTGCTCCATCTGCAGCGGCTTTGAAGCAAGTGAAGCTACTACGTACTACTCCTCCTAAGATCTTCCATCTTTCCCACTCTTATTCCTCTCCACCCCTCCCTCCAGCAGCACCGCACCGTTGAATAATTACCTTTCCTTTCCTTTTCCCGTGTTGTGGAGAATAATGGCTTCGTATCCACTGGCTGGTCCTGTTTAGACCCTTTTCTTACTCCCTCTAGCTAGTCTGTCTATACTTAATAGCCCTTTCTTTCCACATCGCATAGTCGCTTTTCCGACATAACCAGCTTCTGCCTCAACTGTGGAGAATCAGTGTTGATCACGTCCACATCTAAGGTATTATTGAGGATAGGTAATTTATTTTCCCCGTCCTTGTCTGTGCCAATAGTTTTCTCTTTTTACGCGCAATGACTATCCTGCTCTGTGGCCACTGCCCTTGCCATTATTCCTGCGGTTCCCGCAGATCCTTGCTGTCATTGGCACTTCAGGATGTTCTTGGGATTTAGGCAGTCCTCGCAACTTGCGGCTCACTGATTCCCATTTTACAGATACAAATCTTGCTTGTCAACTTACTCCCTTGATCCTTCGCCCTCGCACCGGAGCTTCCCCTTCTCCGCAATAGCAGCTTCGGAGGACCCGTTCAGATCCATGCGCCTTGACGATCAAGCCTCAATCCTGTTTCCAGCTCAAGCTCCTCATTTGATCGACCTGTGGCAATCCAAAGGAGCGGAATCAACAAGACCTGTCCCTGCCATTGAGACATGCGCGCGCTGTGCATGGCATAAACTTAAATACCTACATTCGCATCCTATGAGTCTACTCGAATGACCTTTTCCGATTTCATGCATTTCACTTGATCGGGTCATTTCGCATTCTCACACATCCAGGAGATTTACAATGGCACCGATGAACGTGATGGAGGCGGAGAATAGCAGGGATGAGGAACATGATATACATGAAGACACAATCGACGTCGAAGAGGATGAGGAAGAAAATGTGTCCGAGCTTGATCCTTCACAGAAGGAGTACCTAGAGTACCAACGTAGGCTTGATGATTTCCTGTCGCCTTTGGTTCTTGACGAAGCTGTCCTCTACAGACTTGCGCGTCGCTTCTCGAGCACATACCGCCACCTAGCATTACACTCTGACCAGCAGTTTTTGCCCACTCCCGTCACTAGACTGCCCACCGGTCTTGAGACCGGTCGTTATCTGGCTATTGATGTTGGAGGAAGCAATCTGCGAGTCGCATTCATTGAACTGTTGGGGGAAGCGGCCGACTCCGATATCCGTTCAACAGACGCGTCGGAAAGATCAAGGGATACCCTTCGAAAGGCACAGAGACAAAGAGTCAAACGAACACTAGAGAAAGCATGGCCCATACAGGAACATTTGAAGATGGATAAGGCGGAGGACCTCTTCGCATGGATTGGGGACTGCATCGCGGAAGTGGTCGCCGAAAGCTTGACATCGGACGCCACGAAGGGCAACATTCCCCAAGAATTAGACATGGGAATTACGTTCAGTTTTCCTATCATGTGAGTATCCTTGCCATGAAAAGTCGTGACCTGTTATTATTTTCTCTCGGGTGACTCTGGTGCAATTCCGTTTGACTGACAAAGTCATACAGGCAAGAGTCGCTCGCGGAAGCTACGCTGATGCCGATGGGCAAAGGGTTCGCTATCACCTCGGACCTCAATCTTCGTAAAATCCTGCTTCATGGTTACGAGAAGCACACCAGACGTCCTGACGAGGACGAGCCCTCGAGCAAGCGCCGGAAACTCTTTGCACTACCTAAACTGAAGATCGCCGCTATCACAAATGATGCCGTCGCTACTCTTGCATCTCTAGCTTACTCCGTCAAGTCCCTGCCCAACAGTCGTGTCGCAATGGGTATCATTGTAGGCACAGGCTGCAACGCCACTATTCCCATGAAGCTTGAATCTCTACATGAGTCTAAAGCGGAACATGTCAAGTCAAAGAACCCGGAAGCAAAAGAAACAATTGTCAATACTGAATGGACCATTTCGGGCGCCGCCCCTCCTTTGAAAGAGCTCAATATCATAACCAAGTGGGATGAAGAGCTAGACAAAGCATGTGCACGTCCTGGGTTTCAGCCCTTCGAGTACATGACCGGTGGCCGGTACATCGGAGAACTCATTCGGCTGATACTCTTTGACTACCTTACGAACATTGTTGGACTGGAGAAGAAACAGCTCCCCGCAACGCTCGTCCAGGAATATGCCCTGACCACATCGTACGTCTCAGACAAAGTCGCTCGCCCACAACGTGACGAAGATCTCACTGCGGAACTGAACCAATCGTTACCTCCACCCGAGAGTAGCGAATGGTGCTGGGATGCTTTGACTGCGGGCGCTTTTCGGAAGATCGCTCGAGTTGTACAGAGTCGATCTGCCGGGTTAATAGCTGCGGCAGTGGTTGGATTACTCGCCTGCGCACAAGAGATCGAGTTGAAGGTGGACAGCAATGAGAACTCACCGCAAAGTTCAACTGCCGCGTCGCCTCAGCGCAACGGTAGCGCTAAACTGCAGGCCATTTTGAACGAAACTACATCCTCGTCCTTGGAGGCAGGCGCTGCTAGGAATGGTCAAAGGCCGATTGTTCCAGTTCTACTGCCTACACAGACACCTGCAGATTGGCAGTCGGGCCCTGAAGAGCTTGTTGTTGCTTACACTGGCGGGATAATCCAACACTATCCCAATTTCAAGGAGACGTGTCAGCAATACATTGATCGGCTGATCATGAGAACGGGTCCCCAGAAGAGCGGTAAATCAGTATTTCTGCGAGAAGCTTCAGATGGAGGAGTCATCGGTGCTGGCGTGCTTGCTGGAATGGTCAACAACGGTTAGAAATGCCTGGTTCTCCAGTGAACGTTCAAAATGAAATTTTTAACGAGAGATTATGATTATCATGCGGTCTAAATCTATTTCTCGAACTGGCGCTATCTGCAGGAGCCTCGGTTATCTTGTTTTCCGAGATAGAGGGATTTTGGTGTTACTTTTCTATCCTCTGTTCAACAGGTCTTAAGAGTGAATTATTTGCTCCATCCTTTTGAAGCTGAGTAATTGGACTCATCGAATTTTCATTCCCAGCTTTGAATGCCGGTCTCCAGAGGTCTGTATTATGACCGTTTCTGTATGCACAGTTTTATTTTTGGTAATGAACTTCAAAGACGGTTCTTCCTCCTCGATCTTCTCAAACCAGCCCCGCAGGATGTCCGGGTTTGCTGGGGCGATCCTCCTCCATCATCCATCCAGACGTGATACCGAGTCTGAGGACATGGTCACTGTGGATAGTCTTCGCGAGACCGGGATAAGGCAATCGCAACATTGTCGTGTCAAGATCAGATTATCTCTGACGATACATAAGCCGATATGGAGTAACTGCAAGCGAAGGGGAAGCCCCGACGGTGTATGACTGCAATCCATCTGAGTTCAAACAACTGGTGGATACGCCGCAAAGCATATTTCACTCACAACAGCCTAAGTGAATAAACGATGCTATATGGCGCATATCAGACTCTCGCCCCTATGCCCAAGCACGCCAGGTCAGAAATTCGTGGACTTGGCCAGGTTTGCTCGCTCAGATGTAGCGAAACATGTTGTTCCGAACACTCCGTTTCATGGCGGTTGGTTTGCCATCCTCATATTCGATACCCGAGGCCCCACCCTCACCAGACATCTGCTCGAGGCGTTCACGAAGCTCCTCGTCCGCTTGAGCAACACTTTTGGTCATTTTGGGTTTCGATTCCTTGCTGCCGTCGCGGACCTTCGGCGGATCCTTGGACGGGTTCTGAACTTCGAGGAACTTTAGCAATGAGAGACGACAATCGCTTGGGGTACATCATGCACGAACCAGTTTTAGCATCTGACTTGGACGACTTTTGCGCCGTGTAGGATAAGAGCCGCTTTCCAGAGCAGAGGCGTGATGTACGCACACGCAGGCATCCTGCCATACACGAAATTCGTTGTACATTCATGATGTCCCATGTGTCAAGCAAAAGCTTTTTGAGATTCAGTTCCATCAGAAGAAGTAGATATTCCAAGTTTTTTACTTTCTGGGGTGTTATTCTGTTGACACTGATGTAATCATCAATACTCCGTAGTGATGTCAACGTCACATGACATTGCGATTAGATTATCACGTGATGGTTGTCCCCGCGATACGCTTCAACCGGCCCAGCCCGACTCTCACTGATTCAGCTTTTCGCCATCCCCTGACTTGATCGCTCACATTTAAATGACAACATGAGTGCTCAGGCATACTATGAGTTGTATCGCGGGAGCAGGTACTAGACACTCAGCAAAAGCTGTGTTACTTTTTCACTAACCATTTTACCCAGTCTCGGTCTCTCCCTTACCGATACGCTCGATGACTTGATCAACGAAGGCCGGATTGAGCCCCAGCTCGCCATGAAGATTCTCTCCACGTTTGATCGTGTTATTACAGAAGTGCTCGCGGATAAAGTGCGCGCAAGGCTTACGTTCAAGGTAGCTTCTTCCGTCTACAACTTGCCCGACTGATCTAGGAAACCGGGAATAGAACTGCTCTTGTGAGAACATTGACGGTGACTAACTTGCCCTTTCTTGTTCTGTAGGGTCACCTGGATACCTATCGATTCTGCGACGAAGTGTGGACCTTCCTTATCAAAGACGTTACTTTCAAGTTGGACAACCAGACGACAGTGACAGCAGACAAGGTGAAGATTGTGAGCTGCAATAGCAAGCGCCCTGGAGAGGCGTAAACACCTTCTTATGGATTTACTCATGGCGTTTTACTGGGATATTTTACTCGCCAGGCGTTTTCCTGTACAAGATGTCACCATTTGATTTGGCTGGGCACATGGTTTTCTTCATCTTTCGGGTTTTATCCTATCGGCGTTGGGGCAAGAACTAGATTTCGCATCACGAATACCTCGATAGTCATATCAAATCAAGATACCCTGATTCATCTACCTTTCTCCTTTTGCGATGAGTGAAACTTGAGTTGGCCCGCAGTTCCCTGCCACTTGCTAGATAGACTAAATACCAAGTGCGGAGAGCGGGGCGGAACGCCTCCCGCGCTCGCTCGTTCATCGATTGCGGAGCCAGAATTATAGTCAGATCTCGACATCGAAGACCTGACAACACAACGATACAAGCTCAGTGATGTCGCGTTTCGTCTCGGCCATAATCTTTAAGGATACGGTTCAATATGCCTCGGACTCTTCCATGGCTTACAGGCAGTGGTACCAAGGCCGAGGACGCAAAGAGTTCACCGCGTCGACGTGCAGTGAAGCACGAAAAAGGTTCGGACCACAGCGCTGAGGAGACTCCGAAGGCATCCAAGTCTACGTCTCGCAGAGAGAAACGAGATTTTCTTCGGTCTTGTAAGCAAAAGGAGACACTGGGGGTGTACGAGTCCTTTCTGATAAGATTTACGCAGCGCCGAGTCCTCCTACGTCTCCTATCCAGCGATGCCCCTCAGAAGAGTACGCACTGCAAATCAGCCCGGAGATTGGCGGAACTTTACTGATATGCAAAACACAGATATTTGATTGAAGGGTTCGACAAGGATGATATTTACATGATGGTCGAAGACGAGTTCTACGCCATGGCGCAGACGTTCACCAAGCACCTCCACTATGCGGAATACGTCAAACGCAAGAAGGAGGCAAAACTCCAAAACGCAGCAGCAATTAAAGACCTTGCCCGACCTACTGATGGTGTCACGCCGAAAAGCGAAGAGACGAAGAGGAAGGAGGCGGCCGCCGCCCTCTCAGCCCGTCAAAGGGCGGGCTTGGAGAAAATGGAGGGTAAGCGGCCGCAGCTGGACTCTGATACGGAGGAAGACGATACGGATGAAGACGATGGGCTTGCGGGTACCTCGCTAGGGTACCTTATGACGAGTCCACGGAAGGCTCGGTCGCTAGTAGGCATGCAAGGTGTCAAATCGTCCACTAGGGCGGCTGCTGGGTTTGTCCAGGCGTCTGGTTCGAAAAGGCAGAAAACGAATCCTGATGCGCATACCCATTCTTCACCCAAGGCTGAAGTTGAAGCAGTCGATCATGCGGCGGATGCAACTGCTACAGAGGATGACGACTTGGACGTACAGATCACCAAGACTTCCACAAGACCGACAGCAAAGAAACATTCTATTGGATCAGATCCCAGCTCACCGGTCTTAAGGACCAGTTCTTCTACTCCTCAGTATACTGACAATGACGATAGAGGAAAAAGACCCGTCCGCGTTATTCATAGAACTCCACCGTTGGGTAGATCGAGAAGAAAACTATTCTTCGATGACTTTGACGAGCTACCAGAGCCGTCAAATCCAAACCCTTCGGCACATGGCCGGCTCAAATCTCACACAGCTAATAATACAAAGGATCCGAACGAAAGTGGTGTAAATTCGAAAAAATCCCGTCTCAAAGAAGTTCCGACATTTTTGTTTTGAACATAGAACAGCGACAATCCCAATCTCCTAGAGGTATCCATTGGCGACATGCTTCGAAATGTTCAACGATCTAAGTCGGATTCAACATCTTTGTCAAGCGAAATCATCACTCATGGCAAGAAGACGGGCCCACGAGTTTAATGCTCAGCCTCCGGACATGCTCCTTGATCCTGTCCCGTGTGGACGGCTGACGCTGAACTCCCTTGATTGTGTCCTTCTCTAGTGCCGAGCCATGACTATGCAATGTCAGCGCGCTGGGTAGAAAGATCGTCAGAACTAGTTTCAATATTATGATTTAGCAATGGAACTAACTCATCGTCCGGGAAGAAGTTTGGCAGCTCTTCTTTGCGGAAGTTCGTTGGTGGGCCCTGCGGGCAATGTCAGAATTTCACTCGAGGAATACTGAGGGCTTTGGACTTACTATCTCCAAGACCCTATGTGTCTTCTTCTGAAATGGTGATTTCGCGAATCGGAGAATCTGTCTGAAGCACTCCATAGTTGGGACAAGTTGGTAATACAGTTTATGGGAAAGAAATGGAAAAAGAGTGCTGAAATCCGGTTGATCGATATATGCAAAGATTTTCGCGACGAGAATATCAGAAATGATGCAAAAACTAGCGGCAAGAGGGCACTTTCGCAGGCTGCTTTGAACGAATGACGTTTATACCAAACGATGGACTTTCGACTGAAACGCTTGAAACAATACAAAAATTCACGATAAATGAAGGACTGGTCGATGCTCTATGACATCAAGGCTATGGATTGGAGTCAGAAAGTCGAATTTGACATGGACATGGTGCATTCATATATAGTGAATGCCCTCTTAAGGAGCTGCAGCCTACAGTATGGCCTTGTTTGACGGTTTCCGGACTGCCGCAATGTAGGCTAAGCTGATCGGTAGTCTCTGTGGAACGACGAGCATTGCGATAGTTTCGAGGGAAAACTTTGTGAAGCGCGCTGTCACACATTCCTTTGGCAGCTGTCCCCTCGCAGCAGTGCTGCATTTGCGGGTTTTACCTGGGTGACTTGTCCCAATAAGACGGCCTCGACAAAGCCGTGGAATTTTCTGCCAGAGAGTTCTTGGGCTGTTCTTGACGAACTCTTCCTCATTCGATCTTCGCCGAATTTCGATGAAAATGCAGGGCAACAAATTTGTCAGGCCTTGCATACTTACACCGCTGTCATCGGCTCCTTGAAAGCGTGTCGATAACACTTCTACAGCAACAGACTTCCGCGTCTGGTACATGGACTGGATACGTGCAGCAAGCCCCCCTGCGCCTAGATTCCTGAGTACGCAGTTGTCACTCGCTTTGTCTAAATCGGTTACCGATTTGCTGGGCCTTTATTCCTAACTCCAGTGGCTTAAATCGACCTGTTCCAGTCCAACGTCCCAGATGTCTCGGAAAGCGGCATTATGCATATGCACCGTTTGACGTGCACAGAATGTGCCATCGCGTCTCTACGCTGATAAAAATAAGCCCATAGCGATAACAGCCAAAGGAAATTTGCCTGATACCTTTCCTTTACTTTGGAAAGGTCGACTTGTCTGTTTCTCAGTAGCATTGCGCTCATCATAGGCGCGCTCGTGGCACTATGCAGTTTTCCATCATCCAGGGAGCTGCATTAAACAGTGTTTCGTCGCTCGTAACTATTGCCGTTATCGCGATCAACATTCCTATGTCAGTCCATTTTCCGCCTCCACTCCTCCACAGGCGACATTGTGTGAGGGTCGGACGAGTCCAAAATTGGGCCGAAGACAGCACAGCACCACTGGACTCCTAACCTCCTTCTCTCGTGTACAGTCGTATGCTCTATGGGCGCTGCGCAATCCAGAAGGGGGGAACGAGGATTGTGCCTACGAATGTACATATCCCTTGCTTCAGCAACTATGCGGCCGCAGAGGCCCCCTCCTCAGCATTGACATTCCTGTCGCCCCATCTGGTCGATGAATTCAAACGTCTGGTTGACTGCAATTTGGATTATTTCTTGCTTTCGATTGGCCGATGGGAGGGATCCGCCTGCCTAAAGACTGTAAAGGAAGGTCTCAAAATGGAAGCATCCAATTATCCCTTGGCATGAGCAAAATTCCTTCGATGTCAAGGGAGATTGCAGTAGATATGCCCTCTGCTTTCTCGCCCTATCATGACGGTTATTACGGCAATTGATGGGAGGTTGATAATTGTCCTGAATGCAGCAGCTGCCTGGCACTTTTACTACGCTTCTGGCATCGCTACCTCAAATCCTGCATCTTCGGCCGTATCCTAAACCTCGCGGGAATTGAGATAAACTTCACTGGCTTAGCCGCAGAATTCAAGAGGTCTACCTCTCTATTCGGTGCGAAATCAGCATGACCCTTTTGCCGTTGGCGCGCAATCCTCACAGTCGCCCCGTGACAGGAAATAAAAGACAGGCGTGCCTCGTGAGGGTCGAGATCTTGAATAACCATTTCTCAATTTCTTGACCATTGACTGAGAGTGTCCAGTGATATTTATTATTACCTGGGTCTATATCAATAGTTCGCCGATAGGGCCTGACTCTTGGTATTTCGATGGTAATGGCTGTCAAAGGATAACAAGCCATGTATGAGTTATCTATTTTGGATAATCCTTGACATGATAGCTCTTGAGCTTGACGAATTGCTCGAATCCGAACCTGCTCAGCGTGACACCACGACCTGAGTTCTTCCAACCAGTCCATGCAAGGTCCTACAGACATGTCAATCGTCATCTTCGATGGAATATAAACCAGAGAGTGTGTGCTACTTACCGGACTAGGGTAGTCAGATCTGTTGATGAAGACAGTTCCCGCCTCGACTTGCTCAATGAGCTCCTCAGCCTTAGGGACATCCTTCGTCCAGATGCTTGCAGTGAGTCCGAACTCGCTGTCGTTCATGAGCTTGACTGCCTCCTCGTCGCTCTCAACCTTCATCACGGGAAGCACAGGGCCAAAAGTCTCCTCCGTCATGACACGCATATTGTGATTGACGCCCGTCAGCAATGTGGGCTTAACGTAATTACCATCGGCAGGGAGACTGTCGAACGTCTCGTTGGCAGGCGTCTCGTCCCGAGCACCCTTGTCGATCGCCTCAGCGATATGCGCCAAAATCGTTTCCTTAGCGCGCTTCGAGATGACGGGCCCAATCTGCGTCGTCTTCTCCGACGGATCCCCAACACGATACTTGCTCAAAACCTTCTTCACTTCGGCGACGAACGTCTCGTAGATGTTCTTGTGGACGTAGACCCGCTCAATCGCGCAGCAGCTCTGACCACTGTTGAAGATTGCCCCATCAACAATCTCCGCCGCCGCCCA